GAAGCTGGAAAGGTCGATAGAATTATCGAAAAAAACTTCGTTCTTCTCTTCGTGCCTTATCTTCCGACAAAGGAGAGCGATGGAACGGTCAGCAAGGACGCGTAAGCGAACCGGAAACCCGGTCAACGAGGTCAAGTGTCCAGTCGATCGGAGTGACCGTCGTTAAGAGACTTTAATTCGAGAAACAGCTTGCTGATACATCAACGAAGAACTCGTTCGATCGTAGTTCCACCTAAAATATCTTCGCCTGGTGTTTCTTTTTCCTTGCTACCATATAGTTGACTGCGGTACGAGTCTAGAGTCTTGTTTCTTTTTAAGTTTCTATCGGCGGATACCTTTTCATATTTTTTCCGAAACCTCGTTCGCTCGCTTAGTCGAATCGCTTAAATATCTAGCGGCTAAAGACCATCGGTTGGACCAGGAGCGTTTTCAATTTTACGGACAACCAGTTCTTTTGGTATTTTGGAGCTTGTGCGAGAGAGGCTTATCCGTGGATGAACAGGTGTATAGGTGTTGACAGTCGAAAGAGTAAACCACGGAAGATAGTCGTGGTTTTTTCTTGGACGACAGGTTGGTTGGCTGCGGAGGTAAGAGGTAAAAGCAAAAGAGCTACAAGGAAGAAACTCGGTCACGACTGTCGAAGATGATAGCGTTGCACGGTTCCGTGTAATTGGTATCGCGACAGAATAGATGAATACCGTAGCGTGTTTACAAAAGAGATTGTCGTTGTTGACGTTAACAGGATTTGCAAGCGATAAACGTCTACACGACTCGAACCAGATGACCGTGCTGCTTTTTTCAACCCTCCCTTTTGATCCGCTCTCTTTCTCTCTCTCTCTCTCTTTCTCTCCTTCGTTCCCTCTTCGTCTTTTTCTGAACTGCTTTACTTCGTGATACGGCTCGCCGCGACAAAGGACATTAAGGACTTTTGTCGAAAGCTCTGGCGACCAAAAGAAGACAAACGCGAATAGATCTATCGCTTTTAAGCGCCGCTGTTCTTTGTCTTCTCGAGTAATTCCACGGTGCGCTTGATTCGACGATCGAACTTGTCGAAGACTATAGAACTATAAATTACGATTTTCGATATAAAGATCTAGCTCGAAATTCATTAGAAAGGAAAGATCAGATGACTGGACAGTGGTTGTTTCAGCGAACAGTCCGAGTCTGTTTAAAGTTTAAAGCGAAAGATACTCGAAGAAGAAACGAGCTCTTTCATCTACCGTTGGCATTCGCGATGCCATGCCACCTACACGCTTTAGCAACGTGACACAACGTGTCAGCTAGCCGCGAAACGTTTGATTTTCCATCGGGAAAGATAGTGATTACGACGAAGAAAGGATCGGCTTCCAATGCCACTACATTCAAAACCGTTTCTTCTTTAGATCTGCTCCGTCGAGATTTCCTCTTCTTTGTCGAGTTTCTTTGACAACCCGACTGAGCGGGAAACCTTTGTTACGAGTGCACTAAGAGCAGGCTGCTTCGTCGCTGTTTTAATAATCTCAATTTTTGTGCGTCGATGCGGTCAGAGCTACCGAGTTAAGACCAAGACTTTGTTCGTGTCTCCTTTTCTTCGCAACGACCATTTTTCTCGCCGGATAAAATCGGTCGGAGTTAAATTTAATTCCAGGCAACGTTTTCCGATGCTACCGTCAAAGTTATCCAAACGTGGTGGTAATTAATTTAAGACGATATTAACGATGTTAATTTGAAATAATATAAAATCAAAGTCGAGTAAACTTATTCTTAATTCGTAGAAAATATCGTGATCGCCGACTATGCAATCAACGAGTGTTTTCTAATTGTTGCCATTTTCAAATGTTGATTTAAATAAAACGTATCGGATACGTTTTATAGGTTCCTTGACATAAATCGAGCAAAGAAAAAACTAGCTAGGAACGCTAGCATCGACCCAAAAATATCTCCACCGGATGACATTCCACGATATATTATCCTCCTTAAATGGTACTGCAACTACTGACGTAGCCGCGTTCAACCGGTTCCCAGAGTAAAATGAAAGGTTCAGGGAACAATGCCGGAGATATCGGTTTATTTAGTCGATGCTCGCGTACTTACGGACTAAGGAGTTCAGTTACGTGCATTTTGTATTTCATTTACTTTACCGGAGGATAATACATCGTGTTAAAAACGTACAAATTTCTCTAGAATCGTTTGTTTCTCCTCTTGTGCGTGTAACTCGATTACGGAATTACGGATAAAAAGATTTGCAATAATGTTTATCCTTTATCGTCGTTACAGCTGTGAATAGCAGAATTACTATGACGCCTTAAAATTTGACGACGATAGAAGATTCTTCCACACGACCATATTACCGACGTTATTTAAAGCTATAGCTCATCTGGACTGCGGGGATCCCGTATCATCTGCTACTTTAATACCGATAGACGTAGACACGTTGTAAATTGTAAAGGCACGACACGACACACGATACAGTACGGCGCGGCGCCGCTCTCTGTTGGCTCGCATCGCATCACCCGTCTTACCTAACCTCGAACTTATCAAGGTGACCGGGATGCTCAGAGTCTCAGGAGCCTAGTCGTATCACCGACTGCATCTTGAAATTACTTATGGCCAATGCAACAGACATGGTTCGAGAATTTTGGCCCGAAAACGTAAACAAGCTATTATACAGGGCTATTATATTAAAAAGAAGTCGAAAATATAGAATAAAAATGTTTGTTTTTTTTAATTTTTTTTTTAATTTTTCCATCCAGACAGCGATCTACAGTGAGATCCGTTATAACGTATCGCACGCGTACCGAGCAAAAATTCAAAGTCGATTTTCTCGAAAACAAAGCCTCGAACGAAAAATTTTTATTCTATATTTTCGATTTCTTTTTTCGCGTAGAATCACCCCCTTTCCGCTTCAACCTAACCACCAGTTATCAACCACCCTGTATATTATATTTGGCCCGATCATCATACTACAGGTTATGCCCGCAACATTTACGTTTGGTCCGATCATCTACTACGATCTATGCCCGTAATATTTACGTTTGGCCCGATCATCGTCTACGGGCTATGCCCGTAGTTGTAGGTTGAGGGGTTAAATATCAAATGAATTCGCATTGTACATGGAGATATTGTATATATTGGGTTGACAACTAAGTGATCGCGGATTTTGTCATTATCGCCTAGTGTTAACTATTATTTATTATTCAAAACAATGACAAAATCCGCGATCACTTAGTTGCCAACCCAATAATTAGACCGAGAAACAGCGACTCTTTCATTTAACGAAATGCTTAGCGATTAAAGCGCATATTATGCGTTATTCTTAAAAAAAATAATCGATTTTTTATTCTCTCCATAATTCGCCTCTTTCTTTCTTTATTTATCGAAGTTAAATACTGAAATATGTTTATCCGGATAAAACAGGGAAGTTTTCCTTAGGTATGTTTATTAGATCGCTTTTCGGTGAAAGATATAACGCAATCTTCCTAAAGTCACGCTTGCCTTTTCTTCCTCCCGCGAATCGTATTTTTCTCCTCGTGTCTGTATGTTGCCAGAAAAATGTCTCTTTCGTCCTGACGAAGTGGGGAACGTACATAAGGAAGTTGGCGGCACACGTTTCAATTCTATTTCATTCCACGAGAATCGATAAAACGCGAAGAAAGACTACAACGTTTGGATACAAAAAAGATTCGCAATTTTAATCCGATTAAAATCTCGGATATTTTAATATCGTCTTTATACAAATTTATCTTCTTCGGACAGGTTTCGATGTGTTATAAATTTCCATATGTTACGGTAGCCAAAAGAATTGTTTTCTTCGACGATATTTTCCCATCGAAATCATCTGGATTACTTTAGACATTTCTCGCAATCGGTCCCAACTGAAACTCCCTGTACATTCGTAAAATATGGAGAATTCGAGATTCTATTTATCAACAGCAAATAGCTTACACATAAATCGACAAGAAAGAATCAAACTGGAACTTCCTTGGACAAGTTACTGTAGGATTCAGGGACTGTGTCCTAAGTTCCAAAGTAGTCTAAACTGTGAACGCGCACGTACGTCTCGTTTGCAGCGAGTGCCGTACAATTTAAAGCACTATGCAAAGCCCTTTAACTTTCCCACAGCTTTTCCAAACTTCCTAAGCTCAAATTACGAACGTAATTTCTATCGTTAAACGACTGTTTATACTAATTAGCGAAACGTTTGATCAATCTGATCTCACCAGACCAGTGACTGAAAGTGAAAAATATTTTGAGCATCGCTGTTCTATAATCTGTAAGAATTTCCTCAAATTTTGTATGGATATCGCAAATCTCGTTTCCTATTGGAAGAATCGAAGGTTTTTTGAGTCGAATACCATACAACGCGAAAAAGTTTTACCTCGAACATCGAGATCGAAGTCAGTTTCGCGGCTATTTTTCTGCGGACCTTCGACGATCTGGAGACGTAGAATATCGCTACGATGCTCGCGCGACAAGTCATTTTCGAACACCCTGTATATACGTACGTTCATCATCGTTGTACTATGGAGCTACTGTTTCTGGTTATATTCCATCTCGTAATTCCGCCTCCCGGTAAGATTCTTACGTGTAGGATTAAGAATCTCTGCTCGAATGTCGAATCTTTATATTAAGACGCTAGATGATATTTAATAACGATTATTATACGGCGAATTATCACGAAACACAAGACAAAGAAAATAAGATAAAATTTATACGAAAGATAAAATCGAGTTATACAAATCCTACAAGGAAAATTAATTAGGTCCGTTGGATCTTCTATCGTGACATTTTATAAAAGATACGATCGTATCCGGGAAAAATAGCGATTTATTTTCTTTCGGCTACGTGTACGATCTCGTTGACGAGTTGCAGCGATTTGTATAATAATACGACCGCGCAGATTGAGAACCGCTGCTCGAGCCAGTGTAGTTCTCACTACTTGACTGGTATTGTATTCCGATTATTTCTTCATTTATATTCGACGCTTGCGTTGACGTCCCTTTTGCTCTTTTCTGTTCCAGCAAAATTATCTCATGAAATTTGGATACCTACCCCAGACGAATCTAGAGACCGGAAACCTTAGGACAGACGATCAGCTCACGGACGCCATTAAAAATTTACAGGTGAGTGAAATATTTTGAGGGTGTTTCGAACCTCGCAATGTTGTTATTCGTACGTCTATCGAATACGAAATATGTTTCTCCGACTATGACAAGCGAAATATAATCGTATTACGTTAAAAAACAAACATTTTAGGGCTTTTATTTCTTTCCATCCTTTGGCTATCTCAGCTTTCTTTCCTCTTGTTATTGTCCCTTTTTAACATAGGGCAGACTCGTGCAGTATCGATCAAAATTAATTCAGATTTATTTCGTCGGATATTGGCACCTTTATTCGAATGAACAAACGAATATGACAATTCTGTGTAACGTATTTCGAAACCGTATCGTTTCTTCCATTGTTTTCGCTGTTTTCGCACGTTAAGCGTATACGTTGATATTCCGAGCGTTAAAAGCTATTTTCTAGAGTTGACATTTTATTTCTCAGGTAAGTAAAGGAGCTTTTTTCTATTCCATGTACTACATTTAATCTATTAAGTGTAAGTGTATAGCCTCGGTCTTACAATTTTCTTCGTATACCGTATACGCGATAATGGAAAACGTTTCCACGCGTTTATCGTCCAGTACGCGACCATTCGACTATCGACCAGTGCAAGACCAAATCTTTTTTATCTGTGGGCTCAATCTGTTGGCAATTGAGATTAAACGAGATCTTCGTCTAATCCTTCCTTTATCTTGTCCCGGTAGAAAAAAGAAAGAAAAGAGAATACGAATGCTGCTTTGAAAGTATTCCTCGAAAATAAAGTGACTCAGAGACGACGAATCTACAGATCAAGAAAATATTCGTTATTTTATTTGTGATACGTATAAAGATAAAAACGCGGATATGTGAAGTGGATAAAAATGTATATTCCAACGTCTAAATGCCCTTTCTTAGCATTATTAACAATTTAGGCCGAAAAATCTACTAATTAAATAATTGGCCGGTACTGGACGACCATTTCTTCAAACTATTCCTTCGAAAATTTCTTCAAATTACGACATTTTTGCTCTTCAAATTATCAATTCTCGTTATTGAATTTCACAAAATTAATTACCCTCCATTCGTTGAGTATCGTTTGTACTATAAACTGGTTTCCGAGATTTTCATTTTTAGCGACTCTATATCAAGATATAACAAAAGGACTTGGACCGATCTGTACTGTACGACTCTTCCTTATACGTACACTTGCTGTAGGTTGTAATAATTATCGTTAAATGCAATTTTAATCGATAATTGCCGTCAAAGATTAAATCTAAAACAACCTACCATGCTATACTACCACTGCTATATCTACTATAATGCTTGCGTACTCAGTAGGTTAGTAAAATAAATATATTCGCTGACACAAAGACCTGGTCCTCTAATTGGAAGTAATCGAGAAAACGCGAATGCTTTGAAATTTTTATTTCGCTAGAAAAGTTGAAGCCGCGTTGAATATAAGATTAGATGGTTGAAAGATTGATCCGCTGGAACAACGTGTCTTTAGCGAATGCAGGGAAAAGAAGTTAAAAAGGAAACAGGTAAAAAACGGAGGAAAACGAACGTAAACGTACAATTGAGGAAAACGACGCGTTGTTCGCTTGGCGAGGATTTACATAAAAATCGAGCTCGTTCAAAGTAAACGCGCGCAAACGTTCGATGAAAACGGTATTCTCTGCCATGCAGATAACGAGCTACAGTTTTCGGTAATGTCCACTGCCTCTTTTGTTTGGACGTAATAGAACTGTAGGAAAAGACGCTCGTTAACGCGCTCGAGATACGGCGGAACGGTAAATTTGATCGTTCAAATTATAAATTCCGAAAATTGCAAATTTCGACAAAATCGTGTTCAGCCAACCGGAAGCGGTAGACGAAAACGTACCTCGAACGTTCGATTACGTTTCTTTGGAAGAACAAAAGTCGATGAAACATCCAGTTCCTTAATCTGCTAACGATACTTAAATATTAATTCGATAGATGATGGATTAGGGCGTTTTAGAAAACACATGTGTTCCATTATAGAACGTAAAATTAAGTCGAATAATCTTCTAGAGAAATTATTTACGCGATTATGAAGATTACGATTATGAAATTAAAAGAATTTTTGCGCCATAGAAAGGAACGCGGCGTGGATAGTTGTGTTTCGAACGCCAGAAGAAACAGTTGAGTTATCTCATCCTGTTGAACTACGGAAAAAGAACTTTTTCGCGGATTTGATGCATCCTGGTAGCTTTTCGTCGCTCTTAGCATCGCGTCGCGCTATTATATTCGATGAAAATCACGATATCGTACAAATTTTTCTAGAGAACAAACACTTGCTTTGGATTCGTTTTTCTACACAATTTATGCATGTAGAAACGCTAAACTTTCTTCCGATTTCTACGAACTTCTATACAAATATTTCGTCGATACACTTTTTGCTTGATAATCGATCGAATTAAAGTTTGTATTTTAGAAATTTCCCTTAATTCTAATTATTTGAAATAAATTGTTGATAAAGAATTTTACTTTTGCACTGCTGCTTTGAAATAGCGAAGAATTCAGAATAGAAAATATGTAACGAGTTTCAACGATTTCTAACTTCGGTGAGTAATTGCTAAACGATAACGCATCTTCTAATGATAAACGAATAATTAGGATCTTGCGAATAATTCAAATTAGATGCGCATGCCAACGATACCTGTGTAGAAGCTTTACCTGTAATTTACTTTATCTTAAACGTTATCGACTAAACGTACGATATGAAACATCTAGGAAATAGTTGGAACGTGTTGGAAATTGTTTTAAACGCACATGTAGAACGCACTTCCCTCGAAGTTTGTGACGATACGATACGAAGCGAAATGAAACGAGACAAAAATCTAACGCGAAAGAAACCGTACACGTATTCTTATTTTATCGAGTTGGTGGCAAGCGATTGTAACAGCGATTTCGTAGATACGCTAGTGAAACAATTTACATTGTAGCGTTAACGTTCTTCCTCTATCATTCTGTAGAAGAATAGCCACACGACCGACGATACTCTTATCGGAATTATTTCTATTTTAGCAGGTTCAAGAATCCACGTTGCTTTTCGACTCGTATGAATATCACGCGATACGTATGTCGTTGATCTACCTTTCATAAACTTTACTTTTATTACTGTACTATTATTTAAATACTAGAATTTACCTATCTGCTGTTTCTTATATACCGTGGTGAATGCTCTGTACAATTATAGATCTTGGCATGTTACACATAGAAAGTAAAAATAATGTTGTTATTGTATATTACTTTTCCCATCAGAGATTCAGTGGCATTCCTGTAACCGGTGATATCGACGAAGCTACGATGAAATTAATGAAACTTCCGCGGTGCGGACTTCCGGATAAAGTGGATCCTAGATTTACTAGGGTCAGGCATAAACGATATACGATCCATGGACAACAATGGCTACATCGGAATCTCACTTGGAGGTAAGCGACGATCGATATTTTGTTTAACGTATTAGCTGTTTGCTCGACAAGTTGTTGCGTAAATTACACGTAAGAACGTAAAGAGAAATTTCGCTAGATATTCGTTTATTTCGTCCACTTTACACGTACGCATATACAGGCAGCTCGTTAGAGGTTGCTTATCCATATCGCAAATACTCACTTCGATATTTCCATCGTCGGGATAACGAACACACCGGTACTGGTATTACCATCGCCTTGTCGTTCTAATTATCATACCGATCAGGTATCTCTCTCTCTCGTCACTGCAGGAGAAAAGAGGAATACGTAATTTGTAGTTTTGGAACGTAAAGTTCGCGTAACTGGATCTTTAAGCGTCAATCGCCGCAAGTGAAAAGTAGATTCGTCAGCAAAAACCATTCTAAGATAATGATTCTGTGCACACGTGGCAATTATTCGTTGAAAAGCAGGACGTTTGGCCCGCTAATTGCCGTCCGTGTTACGCGATCCTCGAGATTCTCTCGCGAATACAATTTTCTGCGAACGCATCGCTAACTGCACGGAAATGCCGTTGACATTGTTGGTCTCCGGCCAACGGCGAATTTGTTCCCCTCTGTGTGTTTCACAAAGAGTGGAGAATAGGAAATAATACGGTTGCAACCATGAGAACGACCAGCCGTAAAAATCACATTGATTCGTAACACCAGCGACGCAATTGCCAGGTCTGCTTTTCTCCAACCTTTTTATCTCTAGTCTACTGCTTTTACCTTCTACTTCGATGTAAATCAACGTAGGCTTGAGTGAGTATCGTTCGTGCACTCGAAACCAAACGCGGACGCGTAGTTGAACAAAACGATTTTAAGGACTCTTTTAGGTTAGGTTGAAAGTGGTTTCGAAAAAGCACGTGAACGATCGGAGAAATATTTAGTAGTGGCAGTTGAGAGTGAATTTTTATACTAAAGTTTGTTTTCCAGGTATATTTCTTTCGATCGCGTCGATTCGCTAATTAAAAATCGAATTTCCGCAGAGAAACGTACGATTGCTGGTTTACGACGATTAAGAGACGTTAACGCAAAGGCTAGAGTTATCGACTCGCGTTAAACGACGTTTTATAAAATGCAAAAAAAATATTGCCAGGCGTGTTAACCGAGGAACAAACGATTTCAAATCGAATTATTTTCCATCGTGACAATTGAACGCATCGCATGAAAGCGCACAACTATACGAACGAGTCGTGTTATCCGATCGAATGACAAAAGAGAGGGAGAGGGAGAGAGAGAGAGAGAGAGAGAGAGAGAGAGAGAGAGAGAGAGTAAAAAATTTAATTGAAGGGGGACAAGTCTGCCACTGTTAATTTAATTATCCTGGACTCGTTACCATTCTGTTGTCTGAACAAAGGAAGAAGTCAGGGCTAGGTACATACATTTACGAGAATGCAAAGGTTGAATCGTAAAAAGGAGAAAAATCGATAAAAGGCAAAGAAAAAGAAAAAAGAACGTCAAGGTTGCGGAAATTCCTCGTCTCTATTTGCAACTTTATCGAAATTTGCAGGATATTTATCTTTACGCTAAAGCGGGAAACTTATTTGCCTGTTCTAAATTTAAGAAATTGTTTGTACGTTATAAGCTATAATCGAATCGTAATTACAACAGGGAACATCCGGATAATTTACCATTGAATATGTGGCGTTGACTATCGGTGGTATTAAGTGGATTATTCGTAGTTGGTAATAGTCGGTAGCGATTTCTACGATACCGATTATGCGTGTGGCGTTAGGTGGCGCCCTCTGAACATATATTCCTGTGCAATTCTAAACGAGTCACGCGAGCAACTGCAACGAATAGAAGAAATGGCCGCGGCGCGCCGTGATATAAATTTCTCGTAGCAAGTGCAATAAAATTGGTTAGAGAGCGTTTTATACAATATAAACGATAGTTGTTTGGAAAGCGTTGCGTCGCATCGTGTGAGCAGTAAATAAATTTGAGTGCATGTCCGGTTTAGTAATCGAGGTAAGGTACAGATAATACAAGGTTCGTTAGTATTTAAGGATTCTAATTAACGAGAGTAAGGAGTGAGGCATCGTTCGCCTTAATTGCTCGTTTTAACGACCAAACCCAGTCGCATGATGCGTCGTACGAAAATTTCGCGGTAATTTCGTCGGGATGTCGAGCACGACGATAGTCGTCGAGAATTTAAGGTCCCCTTGCCATCGAGAAGAAGAGAGGCAATCAACGGTTGTCGATGAAACGACGCAGTAAACGATCATAGACTCGTTAATCGATTCTGCGAAATAGCATATCGATAGTTGGTCAAAGAGAAGACGGTGTACGTCTGACGTAAGTGCCTTCGTAGAGTTGTTCGAATTATTTGAAAAAAGATCCTAAAAATTCTTTGCTGCGTGTTTGCAACGAGTGACGCTGTATCTTCGATAATTAAATACGTGTATTGCTTACTCATCTAGGAGTACTTTACTTGCTCTGTCATCTTGAATCGTATTTTTAAAAATATTCTCGATGTATGACACGTAGGATAAAGTACGTGTACGTGTACACGCGAAACTATCGCGAATTTCTGTTCGTTAGTTTAGGAAACAATGTCAATTTTAGGGAACAGTGCTACAAATAGACGATACATCTGCATCGGAAGCGGTGGAACTTTTGTATCCGACTAATGTGTACATGGTGCGATCCATAGATTCGTTTCATGAAGCACGAAGATAGAGTGGTATCTTATCGAAGAAAAGGAAAACGACGCGAGGCGATAAATTGGCTTGAAAAACCAGGGCAATGAGGTTTTTGCCGTAAAACGAGTTGTTACTAATTTCGAAGGGTAGGAAAAGGGTACGAAAAAAGTTGGAGCATCGTTCAGAATGTAGCGAGGAGAGGTGGTTCGTTTCAGGAGACGCGAGAGAACCTTGTACCGACCCTCTTACCCCATTCGCGAACTTCGTCTCTTATCTTCTTTTTTCTTTCTTCTTTTTTTTTTTTTTTTTTTT